AAGCTTCTTCGTTTCATAGGTGCTATTTGGCAAGGAGTTGGGTTGCGGAAACAATTTCTTCAACCGAACCAACAAATTGTTGAAACAACTGTCGGACCAACCGTTTCTGGCCTTCAATCTCATAAGTTTAAGCACTGTCCGCAACAATATGAAATCCTTCTCGCAACCCTTTGCCTCATCGTACAAAAGATCATTCGCTGCCTTTTATAATGCATCGAAGTTCTCCAACCCACGAGCGGACCCAGCTACAACCTCAGGTTCAGCATGGCGCAAAATCTCTTCCGAATCAAAATTACCATCATTTACGCTGACATTACCTTCATCGACATCATCAACTGTACTGTGCTGACCATTGTCGCCAACATCATCATCATCAACAGGTTCTTCTTCTTCTTCTTCTTCTTCTTCTTCTTCTTCTTCTTCTTCTTCTTCTTCTTCTTCTTCTTCTTCTACTACTACTACTACTACCATGAAATCCTCGTCCAAGTTGAACACTTCATCCCAAACTGTCGCCTGGTTGGGAACTTGTTTGCTTGGGATTTCTCCATGATGTGACCAAGTTGTGTAGCGAGCACCAAATCCATGCGTCACCAGGTGCTGCTCGATTACAGATGGATTGATCCAAATTTTCTGATTTTTGCAGTGCACGCATGGACATCTAATTTCCTTCGTCTTCTTAGATGCAGCATTCTTCTTAGCAGCTTTCATGAATATGTCAACTCCTTCAGTGTATGACGCACGATATCTCTCTCTATACATCCATGCTCTGTCCGCCATCTGTGCATTAATTGCGAAAAAATAAGTACAACTTAGTTAGTTTAAATATTTTTAATAATATGTCACATTAAAATTCTGCTAATTAATATATATATATATATATATATATATATATATATATATATATATATATATATATATATATGTAGAACATCGTTCATGCATAATATTTCTTACAAAGTTTGTCCATTTTGAGCTCCAAATAACAAATAAAAAAATACTTTTCTTCCTCCGTGTCACGTACTTTTTGCCTTGCAAATTCTCAACATCCAACCAATAAAAATGAAGAAAAAAAACTTGACAAATAGAGTAGGAGAAAGTATAACTAGCCTATGGTGCAATAGATCTTTCAAAAGATTCGAGATCAAAACCTCCCCACTATGTATGTGTTTATAGGAGAGAGAAAATCGTGCTCAAATGGCGGCTGCTAGCTGATATAGGCGATGGAAATTTCCCTAGCGGTCAGCATATGTTGGTTGCGGTGCACCGCCATAGAAAATAAACTAGGGGTGGCGGCGGCTTAAGTGGACCGCTAGCGAAGATGTAGGTATTTTCGCTGGCATGCCACGTCACCTAACCACCAGCGAAGATTGGTGTTTTTGCTTGCGTCAAGTTAAGAGGACCGCCAGCGAAAATTCCATATCTTTGCTGGCGGCCAGCTTAGGGCGGCCGCTAACGAAGATAGGTTTTCGCTGGTGGCCCGTGACCCCTCATCCCCCTTATTTTTTGCGCTGGCTGTTTCTTCTCGTAGCCGCTAGCAAAAATATTTTCCAAACGTCATGAAAAACCGTTTTTGTAGTAGTGATTTTATTTTCCTATTTTTTTCCATCAGAAAAAGTGTACGGGAGAAGAAGAACTCTAAGCAGCAACTGTCGCCTCGCTCTAACCAGAGCCCCCTCTCAGTTTGCCACTACTGCAGCCATTGACAGCGCCCGAACCCGCCACGCGGGCGGGTCTTTCATGGTTGCCTCCGCCGCCGGGGGAACCCGGCGGGATATGGTTTGGGAGAAGGGGGCGGGGCTAGTGTTTCGGCCAGGGGCGGATTTACTGTGGGGTCTTGAGACCCCCCTGAATTTTTTACAATTTGGTCCTTTTTGAAAACTTATTTCATAAATAGATCCCTGAAAAAACTTATCCCAGAAATTATTCTTTTTAGGCGCCAGAGTCGCTGGCGCCGTCGTCCAACGGGATGGCGCCAACCTTTCTAGCGCTGCCCCTGCCACCGTGGCACACGCGAACTAACGTGGTAGGAGGAGGGTGCCAGCATGGCTGGCGTCGCCCCCCATCCCACCTCGCCTCCAATCCTATTTCTCTTTTATTTTTATTCTTTTGGATATTTTTTCACACATAGGATATGTGGCCCGTAGAATTTTCAAATAGATCCATGATTGATATTTTATGTGAACACCTTTTTATTTTAGTTTTTGGATATTTTTATCACACTTAGGAGCATGCAGTAACCAACCACAGAAAATTTAAACTCGAACGGATGAAATATGTTGCAGAATTTTTCAAAAAAAAAGTAGATTAGGATTTGTGTTTTTTGGTTACATTAAGTGTCATTTCTTGAAACAGGCGTAACTTTCTAATACGAACTCGGAATCAGGCAAATAATATATCAATAGACATCTACAGAAAAAGTTTGGCGTAATTAGAATCTCCAAATTCCGCTTGCAAGATTGTGTTTTCGAGACGAGAAGCTTTTCGGTGGAGCTTTGAAAAATTCAACAGGTCACAAATTTCGAATATTTGAGTTTAATTTTTCTGTGGTTGGTTCTTGTGTGCTTATAAGCGTGAAAAAATATCAAATAAATAAAATAAAAATAAAAAAGTTACACTTCTCTCCTTTTGTTGACGAGAAATTCGCGCTCGGCCAATGGTGCCGGGTCTGTGTTGGCGCGGACTAAGTCGACAAACACAACGGCCGGGGGATCTGCTTAGCTCCAGTGTAGGACCAAAGGTTGGTGAGATGCGGGCGTGCCAGTCAGTTTGACCTTGCAACTGACAAAATACACAAATAGCAGATTAATGGGCCGATCGGCTGACAAGCCGATGGAGTAATTCCGGCCGATGCCTCCAATGTAGAATGTGGCACTTGATATACCCTCCGTTTCGTTTTATTTGACGCTACAATTCATTTCAAAAAGGAGTCTAAATGTTTGACGTCGTATACACTGGTCGAAACCGTTCCTCGCCTTCGCCTTCTTCCCGCTGGTGCAGGAGATCGCCGGGCTTCGCCGGAAGAAGCCCGTCAAGCCCAAGCCCAAGGATTGCGGCCGCTTCGTCAGGTTCTACCAGTCCCTGGAGACTGGACGAGAGGTGAAAGCTCCATTGCCACAAGTCTCCTCCTTTCTTTTTTCTTTCTTCAGCTGGATGTATTCAGGAGAACAGCAGTGGTGAAGCAACAACCTCGAGAAATTCAGAAATCAACCAACACATTGAGTATGACTTGGTGTTCGCTAGGCAGCTGCAAGCAATGGATAATCTGACAATTGAGACACCTGCAGATGAAGATGATGGTATGCATTGATTCTCGTTCAATTTTGTGAGCACTTGATGTGCGTAGTGATTTTTTCTGTCGTGGTAATCTTAATATTTTTCACCTCTGAATTTTTTTTTCTGTGTTGGTGATGATTCAGATATAAGCTGCGTACCCTCTCCATCTGACTCTGAAACTGATGAACCAGCAGAAGGCAACAACGAAGAGGTGATTATATGAGCTGTTTCAGAATTGTAATTATTCAACATTGTTCGTTTCAAACTTCTTGATGCAAAGATACACAATTCTCTTGCGTATTCACTAAAAAGAAGATGCAGAAGATAATCCAAGCATGTAACTGATGACACTCTGATCAAAATCTTCATCACGGCATGTAACTGATGATTTCCTCCTCTTTTTTCCCCCCAAAACTGCAGCTGTCCTATATGTATATCCGCTTTCATATGCATACTGCCATCAGAGATGCACACAAAGCTTGTAAAGTTGCTGCTGCCATCCCAGCTATTCTTTCTTGTAAATTGAGATAGCTAGTCTGTAAACAGAGTATTCAGACTTTAGATACTCCTTTCTGTATCTGCCAGCTGAAACAAAAACTATGTCCTTTCTGTATCAGTTTGAGGGAATACAATACGTTGATCTGTTTTTTTTTAGAAAATGTTCTGAATAGCAATGAGATTTTCAAGGTGGCAATCACCGGACAAATGCGCTGTTCATCAGCAATGTTACAGGAATACCAGCCTGCACACACAGTGCTAGTTTCAAGAGTTTGCAGCAGCTAGCAGCAGCACCACCACAAGCACTAGCAAACACCAGCAAGGGATTAGCCTCTTTTACTCCATTCCTAAATATGAAGTATACTCACAAATACACCAGCAAGGGAGTACATGCTAGTGCTTATCATAAAACATCTGAATTAACCTTATTAGAAATGAGGAACTGCCATTCCTCAAAATTTAATTATGAAATACTCCTCGAATAAAAACCTGTTAGAAGTGAACCAAAATCAAACCAGGGAGTACTTGCATTACACACAAGGTGTGACTTCAATTTTATAACCAGTAACTTAAACACTTCGATCTACATGTCACTGGGAATAAACAAAAAACTGAAACAAGTGCTTCTCTGAACTTATGAACAGTTAGACATTCAGACATTCAGAATATTCAGATATCACAACAATGACAATTATTGCAGATCATATTTCTAGCAAGAGCAACATTGTAGATTGTCAAAAAATCTAGCAAGGCTGCCAAAAAGTCTCCAGGTCAAAAAATCTAGCAGATTGCCAACATCAACAACTAGATACACCAATCAGCCACATCAGCTACAACAGCAACATCAACCTCAGATCAACACCACCAGCAGCAATTTCAGGTATCTGCCATTGTCCTGAAAGGGAGTAATATAAATGCCATTGTACATGATGATCAGATTCCAAACTCAGTAATGGGTATTACCTCAGAGAAAGTCTAGCACCATGTACTAATTCATATCAGGTATCTGCCATGGTCCTGAAAAGGAGTAAAATGAATGCCACTAATTAGCACACATCAAACAAGTTAGGCTATGAGTATTTGACTTGAAAGCACATGAAGCGATTTTCATGAAAATAAAATATATATAACCAAAATAGTTTACCTGAGATAATTGTTAGCATCATTTATTGACTTTTCATCGCACCTTAGTTGCAAAGGAAGGCGACCTTGCCTTTCAAGCACTCCTTTTTTGATGTGTGGAAGATCATAGGAGTTGTCACTGAGTACTTCTATGACTTCCCTCATGCATGCATGAAGAGACAAGAAATCATGTTTGATAGCCTCACTGGATAATCTTCAAATGCTCGATCGATGGCGGCTACAAGTTCTTCTGTTGTTGTTGAGGCTGATTTGTACTGGATGGACTGAATGGAGTTGAAGAAACCCAGATCCAAGACATTCAAATCTGGGGAATTTGCCGGCTGGCAAACAAGTTTGATGTTAAAGCCGTCTTGCTTCGCAGCCTCACAAAACATTCTGTCGTCCGGTGCAATATGAGGCCGAGCATTATCCTGCTGGATGTATATAGGTTTGCCGGCGTCTTCACGAGGCCACTTAGCCCGAACAGCTGGCAATACCTTTTCTATCTTGAAGCTTCGGATTACCTCCTTTGTGATTGACTCAATGGGCTTCATCTCGATTGTCCCTGCAGGATGGTTCACACTTGACCTCTTCGCAGCTGTGTATGTCACAAAAGGGAAACATCCTATTTTTCCATCAAAGATGCAGTTTCCATTTGAGTCAAACCTTGGTCTGGCGAGAGCTGTTAAGATCATTATTTTCGGGATGAAGTTTTTGTTCTGAATTATCCTGATGCGTCGCGAGGCAGTTGGAGCTGCGTAATATTGCACCGTCTTCCTTGTAATGTTGAACCACTTCTCATATATGAAAATGTAATCAAATAGTGGTTTGAAGACAGGATTGTGAGGCACACTCCTTGGGTCAAGCATTTCAATACACCACTTTAGCCGGTCAATTTTGTTTTGATCTGTCAAGTGGGGATCAAATGAGCTAGATACATGATTTATAGCACCTTATTTTTTCATTCTGTAGACCTTGCTTGTGCTAACACCAAATTGAGTAGCTACATCCTGTATTGTGGTACGGCTCAATATTGAAATATCTTCGAGACGGGACACATCCACCACCTTCTTCTTTCTGCCACACCTAGATCTTCCACTCGCAACGTCAACTGGAATACCTTGATCCAAATAGCTTTTGCCTTTTTTCCATATACGTTGTACTGTCCTGATAGGCACCGAGAATTCAGCTGAAACCTCCTTTCTCTCATGGCCCTTCAAATATCCTTTTTTTTGCCTTTACAAGCATAGCATCAAAGATTGCTCTCCGTTTCTCATTATCAGGCACGACATTCCTGTGTGTATTCTCCTGAGGAACTGGGATAGCATCATCAACCATCAGAATCGAAGAAAGGATCAAACTGAGGCTGTACATTCTCCTAGCCAGGGTCAACACCTATCTCCTCTAGAGTGACTGGGACTTCAGCAACATTTGAATCAAAAAAAGGATCAAACCAAGGTTGTACATTCTCTTGGCCGGGCAAGGGGACTTCCTCTTCTTGCCTCTTTGCTCTCCTCGAATATTAGACCCGCCTTGTGCAACCCTGCAGGAGCATCATTAATTTTCAGTAACTTCTAACATACATAGTGGAAAAAACCGGAGCATCATTAATTTTCAGTAACTTCTAACATACATAGTGGAAAAAACCGAACCGGACCGGTGGTTCGACGGGAAAAAACCAGAACCAGAGGTCTCCACGATTCGGTTCAACTGAAAGACCGGACATGCCCTCGACTCGGATTGAACCGGCTGAACCAGGCGGGTTTAGACTAAACCGGCCATTAAACCGGCTCGGTTGGACCGGACCAAGCAAATAAATGGGCCAACATTAAGGCCCAGCACATTGCCTTCAGGCCCACGCATGTTTTGTGGGCTTTTTTTAAGATAAAATGTATAGAAAAAGGGTGTGGGATGGAGATTCGAACCTAGGTCTGCGCATTGAGAGCGTGTTGCGCTAGCCATCCCAACCTTTGCTTTGTTATGTTTTAGAGAAAATACATGTTGGATATATTTCTATTGAACCGTGGTTCAACTGGCGGTCCACCGATCAGACCGTCGGACCGGTGAACCGAGGGGTCATCCGGGTCACTCACCGGTCCCGTTTCTTGCACTATGCTAACATGTCTATATAAGAAATGCAAGGAGTAAATGGAATGCATTTTTTTATTGCTGGAAATGACACAATCAACTCCAACAGCATTGAACAAGTAGATTCTCTGAACTGAAAATAATAGAGGAGAAAAAGCTAAATGCTAAATGCTCAATTATCAGCTGTGCATTCTCTAGTATTTGCCATCAGCTCAATTATCAGCAATGAGCCCACATGAGCTTTCATTGAGCTTGCTTCAATCATGTGAATTTTGACATTAAAGAAAACAAAACTGGGAGAAACTATTTTGCATGGACACGAGTGTTACAGCATTTATGCTTTCATAAAAAAAGAAGTTGCTTTTAGGTTGGAAAATGAAGACAATATGTGATTAAGTTGCTCGGAATGCAGAGTAAATCTGAAGTCTAAACTCTGAAATTTGAATTGTTGTACTTTCTGTTCTCAAAATTACTGGCAGCTATTCTCAAAAAAAAAAAATACTGACAGCTAAAATTCTGTTCCCACTCTGAAAATGCTGACACAGAAGGCATAGTATCAAGTATGCAAGCAATTATTTAGAGAAGAGAATGATCAAAAGTTGAAGTGCTCTTGCTAATTTCAGTTTCCTATTTGCATCAATTTCTGGTTAATACCTAGAACAATTTCCTGTAGGCAATTTCAGTACCATAACATAAGTTCATAGTAAACTGAAGTTAAAAGCAAATAATCATAGTTTAAGGACATAAATCTGGTAACAATTAGTCTATCAAATCCCTTCTCATAGCAAAACTGCATCTGTATTGCCTACAGTTCAGACTGGATACTGTTTTGCTGCCAATTCAAAGCACTCACATGTCCCCCCAAAAAAAATCACAAACTTAAAACATAGATTTTGACACATAACTAGAGCAATTCCATTTGAAGGAAGGCGATGTTTAGTTGCAAAAACTTCCAACTTTTCCATCACATCGTTCCAATTTCAACCAAACTTCTTGGCGTGAACTAAACACACCCGAAATGAAGAACAGAAATACAAAACTAGAAGCAAACAATATTCTTAAATAGCCAAACTGAACATAATGGCCTAATTATTCAAGGGCCTAATTATTCAAGGGCAAGCAACCTTGGGGAGAGAGTAGCCGAAGACGAAGCCACGCCGGCTCGCGCGGCCATGGCGGCCAGACGATGGAGGCGGTCCTGTACACGGCTGTGGCTACGACTGCCATCGCTAGCTTGCTGCGTGTCTGCCTCTGCCACCTGAGGATGAGGCTGTTGGGGGAACGGCACTGTGACATCGGCCAATGATCCACCGCCGTCCTGCGCCGTCTTCTTCCATGGCGTGAGAAATTTCCGCCACCTACCCACCCCGCCATCCATGGTCGCAGCTTGTCGTGGCAGTGGGCTTAGGCAACGACTTCAGGAGCGGGAGCAGTGGCGCAGGAGAATGAACTCTCCCACCCGGGGAATCTCTGCATCTTGGACCAGATGTTGATGACCCTCAGCCCGCAAATCATTACTCCAACTAACACCCTTTTGGCTGCAAAGTGATTATTCAAGCGTCATCAGCCATGTAGTCTAGCTCAACAAAATGGAAAGAGATTGAGAGAGATTGAGCAGATGTTTTAGATCCAACATACTCCTACGGTAGATGCTTGGTGGCTAACTTCACCACAAATTTGAAAAAATATATTCATGTACAGGTTCATAATGGCTACACCTACGGTACGCTACAACATGGTAAAAAAGGAACGATTTTGGTCAAGAAAACGTAAGGACCTAGTTGGGCACATACTGAATCATCAATCTGTTATCAAGAACAAGCAGGGCGAGCTTGCCTTGTTCTGCAGAACCTCAGCTTCCCAGACGATGAACTTGGCGAGGGACCGCCACCTCGACGCAGGCGCCGGCGTACACGCCGGCAGACTCGTTCGTCTTCTCCGGCAAGCCGGAGCAGTCGCCACCGTACTGGTAACTGCACGCGCGAGGCTGTTGGGATACTCGTAGGCTACGATAGCATAAATCAAAATTTTCTATCACGTAAATCAGGAACCATGCAAGTATTAGATCATAGATCGTTATCACTCGACGCGCTGCGCAGCGGAAGAAGACGTTGAGAAGTTGAAGGAACTCTCGTGAAGTAGCGCGCGTCGATGTAGAGGAAGTAGTCGATCGCACCGGCTCGACCTTCTCCTCCTCGTGCGTTCTCCTCGTCGTACTCCCCAGGGCGGAGCTAGAACAGAACCGAGGGGGTACACCACTATACAAAACTATAACATGTAGGGACACATTTGACTCATTAATGTTATTTTACCGTATATAGGTGGAATTACTTCACCTAAATACCTAAGAGCACCCGCAATGGTAAAGTAAGGTGCTATCTATAAAACATATACATCTCAGCAATAGACTCGATTAATAGTAAACCACCTTAATAGTATGTCTACATTGGTATCTATAACTCTGTCATGCATTGCCTCGTTTTTCTCTATAAACTATTTGTAAGTTAGTAGATAGTTTTGCTCTCTCTCTTCATTTAATACCTTCCAAGTAGGAAAATATGCTGACATGGATATCTTGTAGAGAGCCTATAGATAATTATTGTGTGTGCCCTAATGGTATTTTTAACGTATATAGCTAAACATTACTCTAATTAATGGTATTTTTAGCATAGCAGCACATTGCTCTAATTAATGGTATTCTTACACAGCTTTTGACAAAAAATAATTAATATTTGAGAAGAGAGCACAAAATTCTTATAAAAAATCAAGAGCAAGGGCCGTGAAGGAAAACAACAAGAATACTTACTATTTTGCTACGGCAGGCTGGTTCGTAATCTTACTCCAATTATAAAAAATTCCTAATTTTGATGTTGAATTGGCCGAACCCTAACCTATAATCAGGATAAACTAAAAGCACAATCAGCAATCACACTATCTTTTTTATTTTAGAAATTAGTTTGGAACAAATCTGGAAAACTGGATTAGAAGAAGAGTAGAAAGGCCGATACTTACTTTTCCTCGTTAACCGGAGACCGTGGCCTTGGATCAACACCAGATCGTGTTACTCTAGCCATAAGAGGGCAGCAATGGATGATGATTAGAGCTGTTGATGTCAAGGCTGTGACGGCGAGCGGCAAGCAGCGAGTCAGCGGTCAGGAGGCGACTGACGCGAGCGATTCCAGCGGCAGCAGCTGAAGCGGAAAAAGGAAAAGAAGAAAGAAATAAAGGAGAGATGGGCGAGTGTGGGCCGCGTAGCAATAATCGCGCAGGGATGGAGGAATCGAGGCGTCCCACCGCTGCGGACGAGGCAATGACTACGCGCTTTGACGCTCGAGAGCAACGATCTGCGCCGGCATGCACGCGCCTTAACCCACGCTGGGCTTTTTTTTTCTAGTAGGGGGTACACTGACTTGGGCCATGGGGGGTTCCTATACAGTGAAAACATGGGGTTAAGCAGTAAAAATGCAAATTGGGCCGGGTGCCTCGGAACCCCCTTAGTCCATTGGGCTCCGTCCCTGGTACTCCCACGCCGATCAGCACCGCAAACCAGCGGCGCCTCTACCGGTATCCACACGTATAGGGACGGAACGCCACGCACAGATGTGCTAGCACCCACGCGCGGCTAGGTTTTGCTCGGGGAGGGAAGTGACGGCTAGGGTTTCTCACGTGATGCAATGCCTCCGCCGGTCACACCCCTCACGAATATATAGGATCCATTACTCGGGCCTCCAAGGCCCGTAGGACTCCTATTCGGATCCCTATCCGAATTAAGCCCATATTGGATCTCCATCCAATCCCCTTATTTCGGCCCATTAAGCGTGCGACCATGTAGGTTCATATATATACTCGGCTGTAACCCGAAAACTCCTTTTCGGTCCACGCGTCAACAGCGGCCCCTGGCAGAACGTATTGACCCACTGGGCAGACATAAAGATCATATCGGCTGAACCTCTAGTGTATACTTGTATGAACCCCTTTGCCTCACGATATCGATTAAGCTCAAGGTTAGATATGTACCATCCTTTAATAGCTCAATCATTCACTCGAACCTGTCGATAGATTATATAACTTGTGATTGACTCCTCAATCACCTTTGGCATGGCCATGCACTTCCATAATCTACAACATCGAGGGGCCTAGAGATATCTCTCCATAGGAGGGGCAAATCCCATCTTGATTATTTATATCCCACTACATGTTTCATAGCATACCCGAAAACTACTTTTATAACTACCCAATCACGGAGTAGCGTTTAGCAGTCTCTAAGTAAGCTACTACACATGTTGGGAACCATGATAATCTCAGGTCTAAGGATTCAACACCAACACTAAATGAGATCACTGATGACACAACGCATATGGCTCTTGCAGTGTCTCATGTTGGGTCTATCCAACAACATGTTCACCAACATGTGTCCACATTATTAATTTGGTATCTCTATACCATGATCCATGAAACATAATCATCAATTAATACATGTGCTGATCATCTAAACATATTTGTTCCACATATGATATTTGATCAGGGATCCTTTAGAAATAGCAACACACAACATAAAGAGTCTCATGAAAGAATCACATATTCATTAACCAATAATGAGTTTATCTATTTCGAGGAACAAAGTCGGATAAATATGTAAACATAGTGTGTGATACAATCATCTCTATGATTGCCTCTAGGGCATATCACTAACAGAGGCGGCGGCGGCGGCGCGCCATTGGTGATCAATTCTTACATTGTGTTCAACGATTGAGAAAGCCAATCAAATTAATGCAAGATGAGTAGTTCCATGTTTTACCGAACACGGGCAACGTCGTGGACGGGCGGCAGGGTGATGAGGATGATGATGACGGAGGGCCAGGTGGCGGTGAGGAGGCCGCAGATGGCGCGGAGGTTGTCCTTGTACTCCGGGAGCAGGACGTGCTGGAGTGTGCTGGCGCGTTCGGGGAGGGAGGCGTCGTTGGCGCTGTCGTGCTGGAGTGGTCGGCCGCCGGGGACGAGGTGCAGGGGAGGCCGGCGATGGGGATCCGTCAAGGGAGAAGATTGGGAAGGGGAAGCCATGGCAGGGGAGGTGGGGAAGAGTGCCGCCGTCCCCGCCGTTGGCCCTGCCGCGGCGCTCGGGATCGAGATGGAGCGCCGCCGCCGTCATGCGTAGAAGGGGAACGAATCGGGGAAGAGGAAGGGCAAAATGGCAAATTCACGTGAACCTTAATTTCGCCGATGCTGTCGGAAACGACAAATAAAACGAAACGGAGGGAATAAAGACAATCGGCTAATAATGATGTAATAAAATATATAACAATATAATCCAGTAGAAACCAATCGGCTAGCAATAATATGATAGAATAAGCACTGATCCGAAGGTTAAAACATACATCGGCTGGAGGTCCGATGTCATAAAATTCACAATATTAGATTAAACAGTGAAACCTCTGTCGATATCGGCTAAATCCAATCTATATGCAATCTTTGTAAGCCGATGCAACGTCCAGATAACTCATCGGCTGAAACCCCGATGAAACCCTTATTGTAATAAAAAACAGACTAGAGATTATGACTCTTAAGCACGACTAAAGTCGATGCAACTTAGAGTATGCAAAGAAACATAATATCTAGACAATCAAGCCTTTGACTAATTTTTAGGGTGGTGGATACCTTAGCTAATCTAATATAGTAAAGCGATTTAGCCGGTACCGGCATTAACCCTAAAGGGAATAACAGCCGATACAAGTAAATCAAGATACTAAGACTAGATTAACTAAGAAATATGATAGATTAGACGCTTACACTAACAAGATCAGAGTGTCGAAGCCCTAGCCCCGCTGATGCAAGGCGCCATGATAGGAATAAACTCGTCGAAAAAGAAGAAAAGGTAAAAGGTGGCGATGTGCCGAATTGTATTGATCGTGGAGATAGTTTACAATAACCCCGGGTGTACATATTTATACCCATGGGTAAATACTAGTCTTTGTAGGATAAGAAAGAAACTTTCCTAAAGGATAAAAGGAAAACATAAAGTCCTTATATGACACTAAACACACTTTCCTACTAACAAACTATTCCTAATTAATAGATAACTTGCCACACCGTATTTTCCTTGAACTCGGTCTCTTCTGGATAAGCTTCCTTGAATAGATTAATTTCCTTAACCGAATATAGCAGGAATCCGACTACTGGTGACTTGACGACTCCCATCGGCCGATCCTAAAACTCTTAGGCCGATATTGATTTTAAGCCAATGATGATCTCGAGGCTTACCAAATTTCGCTGTTAACACCTTTACACTCGAGGGGGAGAGAAAATAAAGTTACACATCTCTCCTATTTATGAGCATTTTGGTGTGAATTATTGTTTCTTTTATATTAGAGATTTGTTAACACAAGATCTTATAAGTGTAAAAAAAATATAAAAAAAAGGTTGTCCCTCCACAGAGAGAAATACGATTGGAGGTGAGGCGAGGTGTGGGGGAGGAGGTGGCGCCAACCATGTTGGCGCCCTCCTCCTGCCACGTCGGTTCGTGTGTGCCACGGTGGCAAGGGCGCGGCACCAGAGAGACTAGTGCCATCCCGTTGGACGACGACGCCAGTGACTCTAGCGCCTAAAAAGGACTATTTTTGGGATACATTTTTTCAGGGAACTATTTATGAAATAAGTTTTTAAAAATAAACAAATTGTAAAAAATCCAAGAAACCCCGCCATTTCTGGGACCATGGGACCCCCTAATCCCCCACTGAATATTTCTTCCATGGATACACTGGATATGGATGGGGTCTGAGATCGGCTGGAGATGGAATAAGTGACCCTCAAAGTGATCGAAATCTAATCCGTGACCCTAAACCACAAAACCGGATATCTCAACCCCCAAACTCTTAAAACCGGTGCAATTTGACTCCCTCGGCGGTTTTGGAGGGCGGTTTCGCTGACGTGGCGCCTACGTGGCGATATTAACCAAGTCTTCCTTACATGTGGCACTTACGTGGCATTAGAATTGAAAAATATGTGTGGGACCCATTAGTCATTCACATAAAAAGAAATATGGGGCCCACGTGTCAGTCCTCCTTCCTTCTTCCTCCCTCTCTCCTCTCTCTCTCTCCCCTTCTTCCCTTCGGCCGGTGGCGCGCGGCGGAAGCGAGCGGCGGGCGGCGAGAGCGGGCGGCGGCGGCGCGCAAGTGAGGCCCAGAGCGGTATGGCGGGGAGTCGGCGCAGTCCGACGCGGCGGCGGCGGCGAAGCCTTCGGGCCCCTCCAAGCCCGTGCCGTCGTACGGGAAGCGTGGCGGGTTCGTGCCGCGGTGGCCGGAGGACTTCGGTGACGGCAGGGCCTTTCCGGAGATCCACGTCGCGCAGTGCCCGCTCGGCATGGGCCGACGCGACGAGAAGAGCGGCTCGAAGATCCTCGCACTCACCGTCAACGCCAAGGGCAGCGTCGCCTTCGACGCCGTCGTGAAGCAGGGTGAGAACGCTCCCGGAGCCCGGAGCTTGGCGCACTTGACGACGACGAAGATGCCGTCGGGGAGGACGCCCCTGTAGACGGCGCCGAAGTCGCCCTGGCCGATCTTGAGCGCCGGCGAGAAGTTGTTGGTGGTGTGCAGGATCTCCTCCATGGAGAACACCGAGCTCTGGAACTGCGTCGCGCTGCCCCTGCCCCTGCTGCTGTTGTACAGCCCGCACATTGACGCCTTCCCCTGATCACTGCCAGGCCCCGGCACTGGAATCATCAAACAGATTCATCCATCAATAATTAATTCCCAACTGCTTAGTTGTTGTTCTGAATTTTGAGAAAAAAAATTGAACCCTTTTGTGATTAAGATTTTAGAAAATGATTCTTTAAGCTCCGCACTAGCAATTCTGCCCCCAGAAAGTAAAGAATTCAGAGTAGTTGCGGCAATTGGATTATGATAATTGACTGCTTCCAATTCAGAGACAGAGTAGTTGCAGCAACTGGACTGTGATAATTGACTGATTTCTTGAACAGTTCAGAAACAGTTGCAGCAATTGGACAAATAATTCAGATTATATCCTGTTTGCTTGAGCAATTCAAATCTAGGTAATTAAGGACAAGGATGAAATAGCTGGAGAAGAAATGACCGAGGCGATGGATCGAGAGAACAATTTACATGGCGGCTTCTTGATCAACTCATTGGGTTCTTTCCTGCTCCTCCTCTTAGCGTTGCTGCCGGAGGCGGAGGTGGCCGACGACGACGACGACGAGGAGGAGGTCGAGAGCGAGCTGAACCACAACCCGATCCACGTCGCGCAGTACGCGCCCGGCATGGGCCGGCAAGACGAGAAGGGCGGCTCGAAGATCCTCGCGCTCACCGTCGACACCAAGGGAAGCGTCGCCTTCGACGCCGTCGTGAAGCAGGATGAGAATGCCCCCGGAGCTCTCGCTCGGCCTCCTTGCGCTCCGCCGTGGCGTGCCGCTCCCCGAGACGGTGGCGTTCTTCCACCACGTCCTCCCGTTGCTCCCCTCACCTGCGCCCCGCCGCCACCCGCTCGCCCGTCCAGCCATCGCCGCTCCGGGCCTAACTTGCGCGCCGCCGCCGCCTGCCGCCGGCCGAAGCTAGGCCGAAGGGAAGAAGGGGGGAGAAAGAGAGATGGGAGAGAGGGAGGAGGGCCCCATATGTCGGTGGCCCCACATTTTTTTTGAATGACTAATGGGTCCCACATATATTTTTCAATTGTAATGCCACGTAGGTGCCACGTTAACGCCACGTGTAATGAAGACTCGGTCAATATCGCCACGTAGGCGGCCACGTCCGTGAAACCGCCCTCCAAAACTACCGAGGGAGTTAAATTGTACCAGTTTTAAGAGTTTGGGGGTCGAGATATCCGGTTTCGTGGTTTAGGGTTACGGATTAAATTTAGATCGGTTTTGAGGGTCACGAAGTGAACTTATTCCGCTGGAGATTGAAGACCAAGTTTTCACGACTTGGGCCGACTATGAAGAGAAGCCCACGAGTTCAATCTTCCAAATTTGGCCTGGCCCACTTCCCCAACCTGCAGCTCAAGCCGGCCCACAGCCCACTCGGCCAATTCCCCAATTCTCCACCATTCCCTCTCCATGTCCCTGAAATCCCTAACCCTAGGCGTTCGACCGGCCGTGGACGCGGGGCCGACGGCCGACGGGAGGCGGCCGTGGACCGCCAAGGACGCAAGGTGGCGAGGCGGCCAACGCCCGGCGGCGACACCGGCTGACGAGGGCAGGAGCCAGGAGGCGGCGTGGCCCGTGGCCCCGTGGGCGTGCGGCGAGCGGCAAGCAGGCGGGACTCGGGAGTCGGCGGCGGCCGGCGAGCCACGAGCGGGCGAGGGCCCCGGAGGGTGGGAAGGGAGGCGGTCAGGCGGCGGTCGAGCGCCGGCGCGCCGCCGGGGAGGTGGCGAGACGCGAGCCGTGCCAGGGCGCCAGGCGGCGGTCCAGCGCTGCCGCGCCGGCGGTGAGGTATGTAAGTGTACTTTGAACTAGACATTTAGCCAATTTACATGTGAGACATGTTTCGATTTATGCTGGCGTAGTTTGTTCAGCCCCACTACTATTTTTTACTGGATCCGCCCCTGGTTTCAGCGTGATGAGCTACCGGAAGGGGTCGAAGGTGTGGGTGGAGGAGAAAGGGGAGGGGTGGGTGGAGGCGGAGGTGGTGGAGGTGAAGGACAGGGCCATCGTCATGCTCACCAGCCATCGGAAGAAGGTGCGGCAATCCAATCCCCTACTCTGCCTTTATGGCTGTTTAAGTTTGCGTCGTTCTGTTTGGGATTTTTCGTGGGTTCCGTATGAGTTTGCTTCGAGTATGATTCGAGACTATAGGGAGAGGCGCCTGTTTTTGTTGTTAGTTTGATCATGAATTAACCTCAGTGAACTGAGGCAGTTCAAAATTCTAATATGTATCTTTTGAGTTGCTTTGGCGTAAACTTTGCACGTCACACCACAGGGAGAAATAACTGAATCGAAATGGTGGAGGTTGTGGTTGCAGATGTTTAATTTAAATCTATCGCTAATTTACACAATAAATTCGACATGGTCACCAGTTCGCTCGATGGGAGTTTTTGAAGTGCAAATGGTAGCATTCCCGGGGTATTGTAATTTGGATCAAAATCTTGAAATCCTTTGCCAGTTGGTTTTGAATTTTATCAGCTTGTTTGTAATTCTGCAGAACTAGTTTGATGCTTCAGTTAGAGTACTTCTAGATAGTTGTATGAATTTGTAACTTCACTTGTTATGTTCTGCAAGTTACCTAGATTGCATGATCTGTGAAATTCAAATGCATTAACATCGATGACTGTGGACAATTATCAACATATTTTTAGTTAGGAAAAAGTACGAATTACCCCCCTGAACTATCGCGGTCGTCCAAATTACCCCCCTGAGCCACAAAACCGGACATTCTTCACCCCCAACTATGCAAACCGGACGAATTACCCCCCTCGACCCAATCCGCGGTGGTTTTGGTCTACGTGGCGTACGCGTGGCAGTCCAGTCAGCATTTTATTTATTAAAAAAAATGTAGGACCCACATGTCATACTCCTATTCCACTAATCCTCTCTCTCTCTTCTCTCACTCTTCTCCTCTCTCTCCTCTCACTGTCAACTACGCAAGCGGCGGGCGGAGACGGCGAGGCGAGGCAGCGACGGCGGCCAGGCGAGCGCGGCGGCTGAGGACGCGAAGCGGCGGCGAGGAAGGGCGGCTGGGTGGCGGGCGCGAGCGGCGGCTGGGTGGCGAGCGGCGGCGGCTCGAGGCGTGCGACATGCGGTGACGGGCAGACGCAGAGCTAGGGGCCGTGCGACCGGCGGTGATGGGTGTACGCGGAGGCGCCCTGGCGGAGCTCGCTCGGACGGCCGATGACGGGGCCGGAGGCGGAGCGTGCGTCCGGTGGCGGAAGAGAAGGGGGAGCGAGCGGCCGGGAGCCTGCTGCCCCAAGCTCCGTCCGCGCGGAGGAGGCGAGCGTGGTCGGCGTAGGCGGTTGGCGAGGTGAGGACGGTGGCGCGCGGGGGGGGGGGGGGGGGGGGCGAAGGACGGCGGCGGCCGGCGATAGAGGCGGAGGCTGACCGGGCGCGCGGTGGGCGGCGGGCTCCTCCACGTCGTGGGCGCGCGGTGGGCGGCAGCGCGCGGGAACACGCGGTGGGCCACTGCCGCCACCGCGGGCTCCTTGTCGTTGGCGCGCGGTGGGCCGACGCGCGGTGGGCCACCGCAGCCACCACAGGCTCCTCCTCGTCGGCGCGCGGTGGGCGGACGCGCGGTGGGCTCACCGCCGACCGGAGTCGTGCCCGCGGCCGCTCACACCGCCGCTCGTCTTCAACCGCCCGCCCCCCGCCCCCGTAGGCCCGCCTCCGCGCGCTGCGTGCGCCGCCATGCGCCGTCGTGCGCGCCGCCGCGAGGGATTGTGGCCGACCGCCCACCCCCGCCCCCGCACGCACGCAGGTGGGGGGCGCGGAGCGGCGGCCGCAGCCGCGGCCACGACGAGCAGCCGCCCCTGGCGCGGGGACGGATGGAGGCGGGTGCGGGCGGCGGCGCGGGATGCGGAGACGGAGGTGGAGGCGGCGGCTGGCTCCCGTGTTCCGCTTCTACCCGACGGAGGAGGAGCTGATATGCTTATACCTCCGCAACAAGCTCGACGGTTTCCGCGACGACATCGAGCGCGTCATCCCCGTCTTCGACATCTACTCCGTCGACCCGTTGCAGCTCTCAGGTACCAGCACACGCGTGTACCTACTTTTGCCCGCGGCGAGGAGGGGGAGCGGATGGTTCTACTTCTGCCCGCGGCAGGAGCGGGAGGTGCGGGGCGGGCGACCGAGCCAGACCACGCCGTCGGGGTACTGGAAGGCGGCGGGCACGACGGGGGTCGTCTACTCCGCGGAGCCGTGGCCGCGCGCCGTTGGGAACAAAGACCGCGTGGAAGATGATGAGAGAGAGAGAGAGGGGGGAAGATGGAAGATGAGGTCTTACAGGTGGGCCCCACCACTTTTAAAAAAGAAAATGCTGATTGGATTTCCACCTCAGCACCACGTGTATGCCACGTAGGATCAATACCGCTTCAGATTGAGTGAGGGGGGTAATTTGTCCGGTTCAATAGTTTGAGGTTTAATATGTCTGGTTTTGTGGTTCGGGGGGGGGGGGGTTAATTCGGACGACCACAATAGTTCAGGGGGGTAATTCGTACCTTTTCCTTTTAGTTAACTGGAAATAGCTGTGCTATCAGTTAAAATTTAACTAGTTTGAGTTGTATCTGTATTATGCTATCGTTTTGGTTTGCAATGCCCTGCTTTACCAGGTTAGGCTCTCTTCGGCTGTTGATTTTGTAGTTGTCCTGGCATTCTTTATAATTTTGTATGGAGGGTGGAAAATTGTTTTACCGATGAATTCTGATCCACTCTGTTTACACCCAATGATCTATTTGGGTTCTTGATTTCCGGATTTCATGCCATCCTCAGTGAAAACATTGAAGTAATTTCACGTTGCAACCAAATTATCTATACTTTATTATTTTATTATCTATACTCCTTAAAAGGACTCCAATGATGGTGGCAGTGAATCTGCCACCCCACCTACTCCCATGTAGATTTTACATACTACCCCTTAAACTTCTTAATATTACATAGCAACTAAATCTAAGTGAAGAACCACATTTAAATTTAAATTAAGGTGGGTATTCCCTATTGCAAAAAGGCAGGTAACATATACATTTCATCAAAAATATGTTATTGCTTATTTTAGGCAATATTATGAAATTTTCCTTTTATCTATCCGTAGCAAAGCACGGGCATTTGTCTAGTATTATATTATATACTATTAAAAGACAGTAGTGGTGGTCGTGAGTCTGCCAGCACCACCATCACTTACACATGGGCCCTGGTATAGTACAATAGTACAACACATGTCAATATTCTGCTTGCTCTTTGTACTTGTTAGGCTGTAGGCCGTAGTCTATAGGAGGAGAGGACATTGGGATTTGGGTGAGTCTATGAACTTTGTAGGCTGGAGCTCTTGAATTTTCCAAGCATGTCAATTTTTTTTTGTTTTTGTTCTTTAAGAAGAAAGATCTTGTTTCAACCAATTGAAAACAATTATTTTCAACAAGGACATTATTTTGCTATTTTCAATATCTGTTGCAATGCACGGGCATTTGGCTAGTGTTGATATATGTATTTATTTCTGTACAGAAAAAATGAATTTATAGTTTTTTCTAACAGAATTATTGAAAGTTTATTTGTTTTTAATATTAAAATTTGATGTAGTTAGTTTATTCTTCCCTTCTGGTTTTCAGATTACAGTTTTGGCAGAGAAGTGTCTGCCCAGGGACACAGATGAAGATCTAGGTGGGGGGCATGTCGATGACATGACCAAACTGACTTATCTTAATGAACCAGGTGTTCTATACAATTTGAAGAGAAGATATGCATTGAATGAGATATATGTAAGTTGTTCACTGGCTCTGTTGTTTTTATTTGTCGAGTGACACTTGCATACAACAAAAACATATTTTTGATCTGTGAATCCTCGTCGGAATTTCTTTGCTAAGACACACTTCACATCTAATTCTCTATTTCTCATGAGACAAGGCTGTCCTTATGATTATAATTATTAATGATAATCTTCTTTCAACATGTGTTGTCTTAGTAAATACATCTACTTTTGTTTTGCTGCTAGCTTCTCTTTGTGACAGCCTTTTCATTCTTTTTTTTTTTGAGATAGACATACACTGGAAGCATCTTGATTGCTGTTAATCCATTCACGAGGCTTCCTCACCTGTACAATGAGTACATGATGGAGCAATACAAGGGTGTCCGACTAGGGGAGTTGAGTCCACATGTTTTTGCAGTAGCTGATGCATCATACAGGTTTGGATTACATTTTGATTCAGCTTAAGTGCCCTTAGCCTCTGTTTGCATGTACAATTTGTTTTCTTGACGTTTATTGAGTTAATGTAGGGCTATGGTGAATGATTCCCGGAGCCAGTCAATCCTGGTTAGTGGTGAAAGTGGCGCTGGCAAGACTGAGACAACAAAGTTTATCATGCAATATCTTACGTATGTTGGTGGTAGAGCTGCTATTGACGATCGAACTGTTGAACAGCAGGTTCTTGAAGTAAGTTTTACCTTATGTTTTCTCCACTGTAACAAATGGATACTAAGAGTTGTGCATATTTAGTTGTCCAAAGTATTTTTGGTTGATACTTGTCAAGGCATTTTCTCATAACTCATAACTCATAAGTCTTTTGTTTCTTGTTACTAGTCTAACCCTCTTCTGGAGGCATTTGGCAATGCAAAAACAGTTAGAAATGACAACTCAAGGTGAGTATCAGTCATAAGGTGACTTGCACAATGCTGTTGCAATTATATGCAATAGTTGGGAATATATTCCTCGACATTAAACATGGTACTCCCTCCGGCCCAAAATATGGCAACTTCTAGCTTTCAAAATTTGTCCAAAAATATATTAACTTCTACACCTACTCCCTCATCTCAACCAATCACAACCATCTCTCATTGAATTTCTCCAACTACTTCCTCAACTTAATTAATCACAACCACCCCCAGATAACTCCATCTATTTCCTTGATCAACTTGCAAAACTCTAGAAATCCTTATATTTTGGAATGGAGGGAGTATAAATGATATTTCGCAGAATATACTATGGCTTTTACCAATTCATAGGGCTCAACCTTTCTCAATGTTTTCTTTGCATAATCTGAATTTACAACACTTTTTGGTTGCAGCCGGTTTGGCAAATTTGTGGAGATGCAATTTGATGCAAATGGTAGAATATCTGGGGCTGCTATTAGGACCTATCTTTTGGAAAGGTCCCGTGTTGTGCAGATTAATGATCCTGAAAGAAATTTTCATTGCTTTTATCAGTTATGTGCGTCTGGAAAGGTACCTGTACCAACCATTGCTATTGCACATTTGCTTCACTTATTATGTGCGTACTCGTGTGAGTTCCATTACTGCACGGTTTGGTTATGGGCTATTTGTGAATTCTGCATTAAATGTTGAAGAATTTGCTTAGAGTTAAATTATACTGGTATCCCGTTGGCCCGTTCCAACCTACACCTTATTCATTTCACCCATTTTAGTAGTTATTGGTTCAACTGGTATGTGTTTATGGTGACACCCATTTCTGTCATATAACTAAAGAATTTTGGCTTGCAATTTATTACTGAAATTAGTTTTATTGCCAAAATATTTTGCATATCAGAGAATAAATTGTGAAAGATGTATTCATTGCTGAAACACCCCCTTTGTTCTACCAAAAAATGAGATTCTTGCCGAATAATATATCCATTTGAACTTAGTTTTAAAGACAAGTAGTTACCCAAACACTAATTCTTTTTGATTGCTTCTAATGAGATTATCGTAATCCACCTCAATATCAAAGCCTTAGTTAAGCACGGAGAACATTGTATTCTAGAAGTTGTATAATCTGTTTCAATTCAGTATATTATATCTAATTGTACAGTTGATTCCACACAGTTCTGAGTTGTTTTTTAAATTTTGCATTTGTTTGTTCGTGAAGGATGCAGAACTGTACAAGCTTGGTCACCCAGGGAGTTTCCATTACTTGAATAAAAGTAAGACATATGAATTGGAAGGAACAAATAATGAAGACGAGTACTGGAAGACAAAAAGGGCAATGGATATTGTCGGAATTAGCAGAAATGATCAGGTTTCTACAGAACCTGAACATACTCAGATGTTTCATGGAAAAAGAATAACTAAAGAAAACCAGTGCATATTATGCATACTTTTCCTTTTCTTATTCCAGAAATGAATGTGTATGTTGTACTTTGTTCAGGATGCTATATTTCGGATACTGGCAGCCATTCTTCATCTTGGCAACATTGAGTTTTCTCCTGGAAAGGAAATTGATTCTTCAAAAATTAAGGATCCAACATCAAATTTTCACCTTCAAATGGCAGCCAAACTATTCATGTATGAATTTTTTTTACATAAATGATTGTGACCCTTTTTTCCCATCATCGTCCTCATTGGTCCATAACAATGACTCAAAAGTTGTATCGAGTTCCAATCTCTTGATTCTTGAAGCGTTATATTTTAATGCTCCAGGGCATTGAGGTTATGGACGTAGATGTTTCGATCTTTGGTTTCTTGCAGACGTCACAAGCAAAGAATACACTTTCCACCCTATGTTAATGACTTACTGTAAATGTGGATTACAGCCTATGGTCGATAATTAAAAACTGGCTTGTTTGCGCTCCTGTACATGCTATATGCATTTATGGATATTATAATTGAATCGTTTTAGATATTTTGTTTAGCTTGTATTGATGAATTTTGATTGCCTGATTAGCAAAGTTTACATTTTTGAACTGTCCGCATTTACTGTTTTGACATGCATTTCTGGAAAAGGATCATGGAATAAACACCAAATTAAGTGAACATGTTGATAATGTACATTAAGGAAAATGCATGCATGGATAATATCTTGTTATGCCTAAAATATTCTTGGTCATTTTGAATCATATATTTTCCACGTAGCAGAAATTATTTAATACTCTGGGAGTGGAAGTACCTTTCCACAGTTTTATTTGTTCCTTATCGCTTCATTATTTCTATTTGAATTAGGTGTGATCCAGATCTGTTGGTCTCAACTCTATGTACACGCGCCATTAACACTCTCGAAGGAGCAATTATAAAAGCATTAGACTGTTCTGCAGCAGCAGCTAATCGTGATGCTCTAGCAAAGACTGTATATGCAAGACTATTTGACTGGTATTTTCACCTGCCTTCGTTTTTTCAAGGATATTGTGTGTTTTTGTAAGTTAACATTCTTTAATTGTTTCCAGGCTTGTTGAGAATATTAACAAATCTATTGGTCAAGATGTTGATTCCAAAGTACAAATTGGTATCTTGGATATTTATGGTTTTGAGAGCTTCAAAAATAACAGGTAATTAAGTATTCTGTCATTTAGTTTAATTCATTTACAGTAATTTTATAGCGATTCATAATCGAATATTTTTATTATATTTGATTCGTGAATATATTATTAGCAAATAAAAGGTCCTAGCTGACTGTTTTGTGTCAGCATTTCTGTTCACAATTCACCTATTTACAGTAATTTTGTGCCTTTTTCCTTGTTTGGTTAAGCTGGCCTTTTAAATGTCCACAAGCAGACAAGCTATTTAATCTGTGCTGCCAACTGGGTAAAATTGTGGGAAAAATATGGGATGTTTGGCTGCTGCATTTTTGTCTGTTTCCCTTTTCCTGATGAATCGTCTTTTATTTGTTGCTGCAGTTTTGAGCAATTCTGCATCAACTTCGCCAATGAAAAGCTTCAGCAACATTTCAATGAGGTATAGTGCATCATTCCCTTTAATGGAAACACAATATTAATTTGTATTTAAATATTTATCTACCTTGTCTTTCTTATCATTAAATACTACAAATCCCTTTCTTCAGCATGTATTCAAGATGGAACAGGAGGAGTACAAAAGCGAGAAAATCGATTGGAGCTACATTGAATTTATTGATAACCAAGATGTTTTGGATTTAATCGAAAAGGTTGTCTTGGCAAATTTATTTACCAAGTTCAGTATGGACAAATCACTTTATGCTTCGTAATTTGTTTTACTGTTGTAATAGCTGCCTTCTTTTTTTTCCCCTCTCTGGATCAACTTGTGTCTTCATATGCCATTTTATATTGATCAGATTGTCCTCATGTATTTGCATATAATGACACTTTTACAAGTTACTTAGTCATGTTTTTGAGCTGGTATTATGTTTGTTCTTTGTGCCAGTCTCGGTGGAATTAGTTAGCTGATGCGGGGTATCACTTACATCACATTAGCAGTAGTTGTTGAGTGTTTGACATGTTCGTCCATTGCTAGCACCAACTCGACCTTAGTACCGGCATGTCACATCCCTCTAAAGTATTATCACATATTGTCATCAGTTATAGTATTATACCAGGTTCTAAGCACACAACAATTATGTTAAAGCTTTTACAATGTATTAGAAAGAAACATCAGCTAGGCTTGACAGATCCTATTTATTCCATGCCATTACTCTTAACAGTTCGAACTTCCATCATTGAATAACTAGAAACATATAGACTTCAATGACCAGAATGAACATTCAACATGGCTTGGATTGTAGAATGCATTTCTGCATACAACTGTTGCACTTGCAAAATGTCTGCAAGCCCAAAGAACCAAAATGGCACATTGGTGATTTCAATATAATTATGCAATGATGCTATTTTGTAAAAATCTTGAGAAAATATGCTTATCGTGGCAACCGTAATTTGCTTCTGCAAGCTTTAATATCTACTGCATCAATAGTGTCCAGTGCAGTAATTATAAAAAAATATGGTTATTAGTGTTCAGATTATATCTATGTTATGTTTGCGAGTGGTGCATGCTTATGCGAGACAGTTTGGTGTTCAGTAATTTATGATTGGTGTCGCTTTTGAAGTTCTATTTTGCTTTTGCACCAGCCCTTATAACATGTTTTTGGCAGCCCAATGCTAATTCAATTGTATGTCCTTGCAGAAACCGATTGGAATTATTGCACTGCTGGATGAAGCTTGGTAAATCATTATTTTTATTTCTTCTGGAAAACAGCTGTTTTTTATTAACAAACATATAACGATTCTAATCTATGGTTGTTATTTTCTAGCATGTTCCCAAAATCTACTCATGAGACCTTTGCAACAAAGATGTTCAGGAATTTCTCTTCGCATCATAGGCTTGAGAAGACAAAATTCTCGGAGACAGATTTTACTATCTCCCATTATGCTGGGAAGGTATGTTAAGTAATTTTAATTAATTTTCCTGTATCAGGTATCAACTATAACAAAGTTGACCTTTTGCAGGTGACGTATCAAACAGAATCATTTTTGGAGAAGAATAGAGATTATATTGTTGCAGAGCACTGCAATCTTTTATCTTCGTCAAGATGCCCTTTAGTTTCTGGACTTTTTGGTACATTACCAGAAGAATCTTTGAGATCGTCGTACAAGTTCTCATCAGTTGCTTCAAGATTTAAGGTATCAGTAAAAATTTCTTTGCTTCTTGGTTATTGAAATTTATGTCTGCCTTACATGGTTTATTTGGTCGCATGTGCCATAAAAATATTATTTACTCTAGAAAAAAAATGTTGTTAAATGCATCTACTTCCACATTATGATCTAGGTAGTGATGAGTAGTGTGGCTTATGTAAGGAAAGGAACCAAAAAAAAAAAATCTCTCCACAATCCCATTTTTGCAAGGGATTTTCATGTAAAGGGGATTGCACTTGTTAGAAGCTATTTTTGCAAGGGATTTTCATGTAAAGGGGATTGCTATATTTTGTCATGTGTTTTTCCTCCAAATATTGTTGTTTCCTTAAAACTAAAAAAAAAGTTTGCAGTACATATGCTCATTGTTGATTTATAGGCTGATTACTTCACTTTTGAAAATTATATGTTTCCTTGAGGTTCATTTGCAGTTGCAGCACATGTGGAAGTTTGAGCCATAATTGTACTAGCTTTGATTATTTTATTCATTTCCTTTCATTCCTATATAAATTAAGGCACTGACTTGCTATATTTTTCATTTCTTATTGATTGCGTTGGATTTTATCGAAACCATAATATTGTGATCTTCCTAACTGCTATATTATATTCATTCTTTCTGTAGCAACAACTTCAAGCCCTCATGGAAACCCTCAACTCGACAGAGCCTCACTACGTACGCTGCGTGAAGCCTAACTCTGTTAATCAGCCTCAGATTTTTGAAAATCAGAGTGTCCTGCATCAACTACGCTGCGGAGTGAGAACATATGTCTTGTACATTAAACACCAAAGCAATAGTATTTGTTTCTTCTCCATAAATCTCTTGAACAGTACATCTGCCCATACATCACGTCATCACCTCTTGAGCAACATATCTGCCTTAAACATTAAACCTCAGTTTGCTGCTGGCAGTATGGCACTATGAATGTCGAAATGCTAATGTTAATTGTGTGTGCTTCAAGTTATACCTTTGTGCAATGTAAAGCCTCTTTCGGTCCTATGCCAACTTGCCCAATTCATTGTGCAACTGATAAGTAATACCTTTATCAATTGTTGGCACTAGCGGATGATTTGTTGGTCATATGCCAACTTACCCGATTCATTGTCTGGGCTCATGTTGTACTGTTCGTACAGGAAACTATCATGTTACTTGAGTAGGCTATAGTCACAAGCAATTCATGCTTTTGGGTCGTATATGGAGCCACATTCATAAGATCACTTAATAAGATGTTTACTCTTTCATAACTGTATATCTGTATTATATGTCGTGATATTCTTTTGCTTTATTGAACCATCTCTAGCAATACACCAGAAAACTCCTTCAATTGTGTGACTATTTACCTCAAGCTATTCATCACTTTTGAAATTTTAATTCCATTTGTTGCTTCATGCATGAACTGGTAAATGTTCCCTGAAGATTGTAACTTGATCATTTGGCAGGGTGTTTTAGAGGCTGTTCGCATCAGTCTTGCTGGCTATCCTACCAGAAGGACTTATGCTGAATTTGTTGACCGGTT